CCGTTCATCATATTTATACATGTTGGGATTTTATGGAGATCAGTGATTACTACGTTGACGCCACTCGTGGTTAGTGCTCTACTGTTCATCTATTTTCTAATAAATAATGCTACTTTTACCACATTTGTATACCACGTTCTCTTACCACCTTATGAGGCAGATGAGGTGGACAAACACATCAATTAAAATTAATGGAACATTTTCTTTTCTTTTATGATTTATGCCTTTTGCTTTATATATATAGATTAACATTTTTTAATTGATGTGACTTTCCACTTCACATTCCACATAAGGTATGAGAATGTGGTATACAAATTTGGTAAGAGCAGCATTACTCTTTTCTAATTTTTTTTTTTTTTTTGGTCACAATACCAATTCTCATATCTTTTGTGATTAAAGCATCAATTCTCATATCTTTACTGATTAAAGCAAAGCACCAATTCTCCTACTCTTTCTTGTGGGGCCAAAGAACAAGTGCCTTTCTTTTTTGGTGAACAAGAACAAGTGCCTATGACTTTTTTGGTGAACAAGACAAGTGCCTTTGAGTCTCCTGCGCATTTTCAGTTTCTTCATTGCAGCAGCCTGCTTTTTGTGCTTAAGAGTCTCCTGCGCACCTTCAGTTCCTTCATTGCAGCAACCAGCTTCTGCTTAGATTTCTTTTGCTTTACTTCCAAATTAAAAATCCAATCAAAACACCCACACAAAAAAAAGTAGTGCCTTTGAAGGGGATAGCCTTCATATTTCCTGGTTTTCGTTTGCCCCTTGATTTCATTGTGTCATTTTTTTAATTTTTTCCAATTCGTTTCGCTTTTCCTTTGCCATTGTTCCCAAAAGAACCTTATTCATTATATATTAAAAAAAGGAAAAAAAGAAGCAGCAGAATTCTGGTTTTCGTTTCACACCCTTGATTTCGTTCTGTTATTATCACCTCTGTTTTGCTTTTACTTTCAAAGAGAGAAAAAAAAAAAAAAAGTAGTAGTAGCAGTTCAGCTTTGTCTCATCATTAGGCTGATTGTGCTGCGGTGTTCTATAAGCATTTTGAAGGGAACTGATATCATTCGTAACCAAAAGAGTGAAAGGTATTAATTTTCGTCTTTTTATTTCCTTATTTGTCCTCTGCTATTTTATGTTCTTATTTTTGTTAGGCTTAAATGTTAAAATCATCCCTGTATTTTACCTATTTGGCTAATTTAGTCCATGTGTTTTCAATTTGATCGATTTACTCCGTTACTCAATATTGTCCATTCCGTTAAACTTTTATTTAAAAAATTCATATTAAACTAATTAAAAATATCTAATTATTTAATAAAATATAAAATTCAATTTAAAAATAAAAGACCAGCCACCACATTCCAGGGGGAAGTGGCTGGGTGGAATCGCTCGTGGTGGGTTGGTGTTGGCTGGTGGGGGGAAGAAGAGGGGTTTGAGGGGAGAAGGAGAGGGTTTAGAGGTTGGGTTTCCAAATTTTATTTATTTATTTAAAATTTTCTTATTTTGTTAATCCTTTTTTTAAGAGAAACAAAAATAAGCACAAGGCAGTGCAGGCCTTTATTTTGTTTTATCATTAAAGAACTTGTAATTTCTTTATTTATTTAAAACAATTACACTTTTTTATTTATTAATTTTTAAAACTTTAATGAATTTTTTTTAACAATAATTTAACGGAATGGACAACATTAGCTTACGTAGTAAAACACAAGGATTAAATCAGCCAAATTAAAAATACGGGGACTAAATTGGCCAAATAATTAAAACACAGGGACTATTTGGACATTTAAGCCTTTTTGTTATGTGTAGCTTTATTTGAACTTAATTATTTCAGAAGTAAATCCAACTAATTTTTTTGGATTAAAGAAAAAAAAATAACAAATTCGAAGGAAAATTGTGGCCCAACTATTTCTTTTTCTCTTCAGAATTTCCCAAGAACTTTGAATTTGATTGCATATGTTTTCGTCCAAAAAGAGTGTCAATGTGATATACAATCTCTTATACGTACCCCAAAGAGGCCATGCTCTAAGAATTTACTTGTAATCTTCGCAATTCATGGAGCAGCCTCTTTGGCACATTACAATAGTTATATTAGAGCATCCACAGTTGGGGGGGTGTATATAGGGGTGTATGTTAAATATATACCTCGAGTCACCGGAATCGTCTCCAATGAGGAGGTGTAAAATGATGTAAATTTACATCACCACCTTTGAGGTGTAAAATAAAATGTATATTTACATCCAAATTTACATCCCTTGTAGGCGGGACTCATCCGAGAAAAGAGAAGAAAAGTCAGCATAAATGGCTGGGATCCGCAGCTACAGTAATTTTTGGAAAAAATTGGCATAATTATTGGAATGAAAAATTGAAAAAGGACATAATAGGAATTTACAGATTTGGCGTTCGAGCTTCGATTGGGGTCCATGATACCTTCTCGAAAAGGGAACGACGTCACGAATTGTACTCACATAGGGTGGATTTTTGGCTTTTGAGGTCGTTTAGACTTCCAAAACAGCATTTAAAAGTTGGATTTTAATTTTTAGGTTTTTTGTTTATTTTCTATTCTTTAACGTATTAGGTACTTTACGATCCAACAATTCTTTTTGAATGAAATCATATCTTCTCCGAATTTAAATATTTTTAGGTCCATTTGTTTGAAAAAATAAAATTAACATAATACAGAAAAAATTAATTTTATAAAGTAAACACAAAATACAAATTTAACACAAAAATGAATTAAGACAAACAAAACAATTATACATCTTAGATTTACATCTTTTCCCATTGGAGCAAAAAACGAATTTACATCCCCCGAAAGTGTAAAGGGGATGTAAAAGTAGCTTTACACTCTCGAATTTACACCATCCCACTGTGAATGCTCTTACCATGTCGATCAGTTCACATGAACCATAACACAAAAACAAATAAAGGTTGCCTGGGGCCAAAAAAACCCAGCTCGACTTCCGATGTGATGATGACTAAATAAGAATTTATGCCACATTACATTTGGCTAAATGTGGTCAGATAAAGTTAGTTCAAATAGCAGTACTCATTAAATAATACCATTTTATTTATACATTTAATGCAATTAAAATTATTTTGTATAAGTTGAAATTTTTCGTTGGATTCCATATAGCAACACAGTAAGAATTGAATTATTGGTTCCACATAGCTCTCTTTATTATTCTTCACGTGACCATGCCATCATGCCTTCTTTTATGGATGACGACACATATGACATCATCCAATTTATGCCATGTTGCGAGCTTGTACATTACCAAATTTAATCACAAATGACCACTCTTGTTAGCTGAAGCAAACAAGATTGAAGCGCAATTACATTTAATTATAACACAGTTTGGGTTTAATTGAAAAACAATAATTGAGTAAGAGAGCCAAACAACAATAATACTGAAAGACAGTTGGACGCTTTGTTTCATTGTGTTCATGATTGCCACCCTTCACTGATTAAGTGTCTCCTGTGCATTTTCAGTTTCTTCATTGCAGCAACTGTTTTTTTCTGATTAAGAGTCACCTGCGCGCCTTCGGTTTCTTCATTGCAGCAACCAGCTTCTGCTTAGATTTCTTTTGCTTTACTTCCAAATTAAAAATCCAATCAAAAAACCAAAAAAAAAAGAGAGTACTGCCTTCAGATTTCCTGGGTTTCCTTTGTCCCTTGATTTCATTGTGTCATTGTGTCATTGTGGTAGTTCAGCTTTGTCTCATTTACCAGACCAATTGTGCTCCGGCGTTCAGTAAAGCATATTTGAAGGGAACTGACCTTATTCGTAACTAAAAGAGAGAAAGGTATAAGGTGCGTCTTTTTATTTCCTTATTTGTTTTTTTTTTCTTCTTCATATATTTCCTCTGCTATTTTATGTTCTTATTTTTGTTATGGGTAGCTTTATTTGAAACTAATTAATAAATATTTCAGAATTAAATCCAACTAATTTTTTTCCTCTAGAAATTTGCCTCGTCGATTAAAGAGATTTAAAAAAGTTACAAAAATTAAAACACTACTAAAACAAAAAAATTAAAGGAAAACTGTGGCCCAACTATTCTTTTTGTTTCGAGATTTGAGAGTCGTGCATTTTGTTTCACTTATCTTCAGTACACTTTCACTTTGTGCATTTTGTTTCCCAGAAGAAGCTTAATGAAAAAACGAAAAAGAAGTGTTGCATGCTGATACTCTGTGTTTCCTATTTTATTTAGGGTTGTATTTCTCTATAAATACCTCTATATTGGAGAATAATAATAAGATGAGCTAATATGAGCATATCTGAGCATAATTGAATATTTCCCCTACTTTGTTTGACATGGTATAAGAGCCTAGGTTTTCTTGTGACTTGTGTTTGTGGTCTCCTTGAGAGTCATTGCTAATCCTTGAGATCCTCTGACAAATTGAGAGTCGTTGGCATTCCTCATTCCTAACCCATCATGGGTCTTCATCTTGTATAGTCACCATCTTTTGTTCATCCTCTCATATTTGTTTTCACTGCACCTAGCCTTCACATGCTTCTTTTCTACTATTCCAAAATTTTTATTTTTCCATCTTTGTATGCCAGATTGTCTTTCTTGATGTCTTAGCTTATCTATCTTTGAAACTTCATAACAAGTCTCTTTACTCTGTGAGCCTCATCACCGCTCACCGAGCCGTTGCTTTCCTCCGCCAGCCTCGTCACCGCTCACCGAGTCATTGTTTTCCTTCGCGAGCCTCGTCACCGCTCGCCAAGCCTTTCCTTTGACTGTTCTACCGGTCTCTGTCTTCTTCGGTTGCTCTCTTGAGTTGCCTTTCCGCTTCTCAGTTTGAGCACCTTATCTTTGTCTTTGTCTCTGTTCATGATTTGCTAGGTTTCCTCCCTTACTATTCTTCTTTTCTGAAGTTTTTTCTTCATGGGATAGCCGTATGCTACCACCTTCCCCTCTCGCATTTGTTTCTGCCATGCGACTGGCATATTTGAGTCTCTTTTCTATTATTTCAATTGCTCCTATTTACTTTCCTCTCATGATTAATAGTGAATCCTCTCTCTCTGTGCATGCCTACATGGCTTTTTTTTTTTTTTTTTTTTTCCATTTGATAATGTGTTTCACTTCCTACCCGGAAACATCTGTGTTTTCTTACTCTCTATTTATTTGGGTGTTACTTTCTCCAAATATCGACTCTCATACATCGTCGGATTTGAGGGGGAGTGACGCTGCTGTTCATCTATTCCATATCAATTCACCTACCTATTTATCATGGTTGATTGTATGTGCCTGTTTCTCAAGTACCACTGCTCATATGTGCTTCATCGACCCCTTCTCTTCAGGGGGAGAGGGGAAGTGAAGAGAAGTTGTCTCTGTTGTTGCTGTTACCACAGTTGTTTGCTTATGGGAAGTGAATTGAAGTTGTCTCTGTTATTGTTGCTACCATAATTGTTTGCCTTGCCTTGTCTTGTTGGTGCCAGTGCCTTATATTGCTCTTGCTGGTGCTAGTGCATTGTGTTGCTCTTGCTGCTATCAGTTTTATTGTCTCTTGCTGAGGACATTATTGTTGTTGCTTCTACCGTGTTGGTGCCTTTGTTGGTGTGTTTTTCCGCTGCGATCATGACCGTTGACCTTGCTGCTGCCAGGTTTGTTGTCTCTTGCTGGGGACATTGTTGTTGTTGCTTCTATCGAGTTCGTGCCTTTGCTGGTGTGTTCATGTTGTGGTCGATGTTGCCACCGTTGATGTTGCCTTTGCTTGCTTCGCTTTCCGTTGATGTGGTCATTGTCGTTGTTGTTGCTGTGGCCTTACCCTTTGCCTTTGCTTCTGCCTTACCTACTGCCGTACTCATAGGGTTTCTGTGTTCTGCCTTATCTGCCTCACAGGGCTTGTGTTTTGCCTTATCTGCTACCGTGCTCATAGGAATTCTGTGTTCTGCCTTACCTACTGCCGTGCTCACAAGGTTTCTGTGTTCTGCCTTACCTATTGTCATACTCACAATGTTTCTGTGTTCTGCCTTATCTACTGTCGTGCTCACATGGTTTTTTTGTTCTGCCTTACCTACTGCCTTGCTCACAGGGCTTTTGTGTTCTGCCTTATCTACTGCCGTGCTCACAGAGCTTCTGTGTTCTGTCTTATCTACTGTCGTGCTCACAGGGCCTGTGTTCTGCCTTACCTACTGTCGTGCTTACAGAGTTTCTGTGTTCTGCCTTACATACTGCCGTGCTCACAGGGTATCTGTGTTCTGCCTTACCTATTGCCGTACTCACAGGGTTTCTGTGTTCTGCTATGTGCCCTATTTTTTAGGGTTTGCTCTTGTGTTTCCGCTGCAAACTTTGTTTTAGTTTGTCACTTGTTTCACTCGTGGTTGACTAAAATACCTTCTCTACAATTGGTGCTTCTCAAGTATGGTGTTCTGTTACTCGCTTGTCAAGTTGGGCTTGCGAAATATCTTTGCCCAACTTGAGGGGGAATATTGGCGAGTCCTTACTTAATTAGGATTTTGGTTCCTTACTATGTTAGGATTTTAGTTACTTACCATTTATCTAGTCCTATTATAATTGAGATTTATTTCATATTGTAATTTATATTTATTTTTTATTGTAATTTGGATTTATTTCCTATTTTATTTAGGGTTGTACTTCTCTATAAATACCTCTATATTGGAGAAGAATAATAAGATAAGCTAATATGAGCGTATCTGAGCATAATTGAATATTTGCCCCACTTTGTTTGACATCACAAGCTTAGTATGCCCTGTAGTTTCCTTCTTCATTTCAATTGGTTTAATATTTTTTCTTTTACTCTTTTTCATTTTCTTGTTTTTGGGTTCGTTTATTCAACAGATACAAGAGTCTCATTCCAAAGGCAAAACAAAAAAAAAAAAACCATGGAGATCCTCAGCGGAATTATTTCTAAAGTAATCGAGTACATAGTTGAACCAGTTGGGCGACAAGTGGGTTATCTGATTAACTACAAAAGCAACCTTGAAAGTCTGAGGAGTCAATTGAATAACTTAGATGCTGCCAAAGACCGGATGAAGCATAGGGTTGATAAAGTTGAAAGAAATGGTAAAGGAGTAGAAACTGATGTCCAGAACTGGAGAAAAGAAGCAGATGGGATCACTCAAGAGGCAGAAAAGATTTTGGGAAATGAAGGCCAAGCAAAGACAAAGTGTTTCCGTGGAGTATGTCCTAATCTGGTTTCGTATCATCAGTTTAGCAGGAAATCAGCAAAATTGGCAAAAAAGATTGAGCTACATGCAAAAGAAGAGTTTCCCAGTGTTTCTTACGAAGCTCCAGTAGAAGATATATGTGCCATACCCTCTCAAGAATACACGGCCTTTGAATCAAGGACTTCAATGCTGAAGCAAATCATGGAGGAACTGAAAAATTCTGATACCAACATGATTGGGGTGTACGGAT